CAGGAGACTCGCTTGAGCCCAGGAGTTGGAGGTTGCTGTGAGCTGTGATGCCATCACACTCTACCCAGGGTAACAGTTTGAAGCGCTGTCTCAAAAAAAAAAAAAATGTAGTTTGGCTCGGCGCCTGTGGCTCAAGTGGCTAAGGCACCAGCCACATATACCTAAGGTGGCAGGTTCGAATCCAGCTTGGGCCCACCAAACAACAATGATGGCTGCAACCAAAAAAAATAGCCAGGCTTTGTGGCAGGAGCCTGTGGTCCCAGCTACTTGGGAGGCTGAGGTAGGAGACTCGCTTGAGCCCAGGAGTTGGAGGTTACTGTAGCTGTGATGCCACAGCACTCTACCCGGAGGGACAGCTTGAGGCTCTGTCTCAAACAAAAAAAAGAATGTAGTTTTTAGTCTTGATGCCCATAGCACAGTGGTTACAGTGCCAGTCACATGCACTGAGGCTGGCAGGTTAGAATCTGGCCCAGGCCAGCTAAACACCAACAACAACTGCAACAACAACAAAAAAATAGCCAGGCATTGTGGTGGGCACCTGTAGTCCCAGCTACTTAGGAGGCTGAGGCAAGAGAATCGCTTAAGCCCAAGAGTTGGAGACTGCTGTGAGCTGTGACACCACAGCACTCTACCAAGGGCAACATAGTAAAACTCTGTCTCAAAAAAAAAAAAAAAAAGAATGTCGTTTTAGATTGAGATAGGTGTGGGTTCTAGGATCTGCAGTTTACCACTGGTTGACTTAAGGGAAATCCCTTAGACTCTCTGAGCCCCATTTCTGTAGGAAAATGAAGATATATAAATATTTATATAGAATATATACACACACACAGTTTTCGTAATCACGGGGTTGTGATTATGAGATCAGGTATAGAAAATTCCTACTTAATGCTTGGCATATGAGTGCTAAAAATGTCTCTTAAAATGATTATCTGGAGCTGGACAAAGTGGCTCACATCTGTAATCCCAGCACTCTGGAAGGCCAAGGTGGGCGGATTGCTTGAGCTCAGGAGTTCAAGATTAGCCTGAACAAGAGCAAGGTCTTGTCTCTACTAAAAATAGAAAAACTAGCTGGGCGTGGTATTACATGCCTATATTCCCAGGCACTTGAAAGGCTGAGGCAAAAAAGACTGCTCAAGCACAAGAGTTTGAGGTTGCTGTCAACTATGATACCATAGCATTCAACCTAGGGTGACAAAGAGACTCTCAAAAAAAGAAATTTTTTTTTTTACTCTATTTAGCAATTCAACAAATATGCATTCCTTACAATGCCTTTTTTATTGATCACTCTGCCTACCTTCCTGTGCCTCAGTTTCCACATCTGTAAAACAGTGGTAATGATTGTAAGTACCTACTTTAAAGGATTTATTGTAAGGATAAAATGGTGTGTGTGTGGCCAGCCAGCCATAGATTAGGGCCTGGAATACCGCAAGTACTATCTAAGAGCAATTATTAAATAAAAAAGAGCCTAATGTACCTGGAAAGGAGGATCAGGGATATCGTTCTCATCTTCTGGTCTCTCCACAATCCATTAAGTTTTGAGTTTTCTCTAATTTATGTAATGAAAACAATAGATATACTGAATTTTTTTTTTTTTTTTTTTGTAGAGACACAGTCTCACTTTGTCACCCTGGGTAGAGTGCCGTGGCATCACACAGCTCAGAGCAACCTCCGATTCCTGGGCTTATGTGATTCTCTTGCCTCAGCCTCCCAAGTAGCTGGGACTACAGGCGCCTGCCACAATAGCCAGCTATTTTTTTATTGCAGTTTGGCTGGGGCTGGGTTTGAACCTGCTACCCTTGGTATATGGGGCCAGCGCCCTACCCACTGACCCACAGGCGCCGCCCGATATACTGAATTTTTTGTTAAACTAACACATACCCTCACACACTTCAAATCACTGTTCAGATGGGAAATGCCAAAACAAGAGTAGCTTCCCCCCACCCTGGACACATGGGCGAAGCAAAGTTCTAGAGCCTTCCAAGAGGTCAGTGCTGGAACCACAAGGGGCCTGACGGAGTCTCTTCTCGCACCTTCAGGGGTCCCTGTGCTCCATCTCATCTCCACACCCTTTCCTACTGTCTGGCACACACCTGAGGACACTGAGGCCAATCTCCACCCGCCCACAGTACACAACCTCAGCCGTATCCTCGCTGTGTTCCTGGCTGAGTATCTGGGGCTCTAGGCTGCTGGTCTGATGTCCAAGGGGACGTTACTCTGAGGGAGAAGTGCCCAGCAGGGGACATGCCAAGAGCACCTGCAGCCAGGGAATGCAGGCTGGTTTACCTGTGGTGTGGTGGCTTGTCTTTGCACACCTTCAGCTCCTACCTGTGCTACAATTGAAGACTCTTTCCTTTGACTCTCTCAAGAGACCACAGTGGGGTGAGATTCAAAGGAGTAAGAACTTGGCACTTGCCTTATGGTTGACACTTGGGCTGAAGGTTTACAGGAGCCAAATGCTATTCTTTTGGTCACTGAATCATGGACTGGTGTCCAGAGCAGCAACACCATTCAACGGAGTGAATTCTCTGTGGCTTATGTTTTTTTGTGTTAGTTCATTCTACAGAACAGCAGCCTTGCTACTGTACCAGTCCAAACCTAACTCCCACATGGGGCCCATAGAAGACGTGTTCACAGAAATGGAGGAGATGGAAGCCAATACTTAGGAATCCCAGATTCTGCCAGACCCAATGGGCAATAAACCAGTGTTTCTGCAAAACGTATTCTGCATAAGCTGGGCATTGTGGTGGGCACCTGTAGCCCTAGCTGCTAGGGAGTCTTAAGCAGTAAGATCACTTGAGCCCAGGAGTTTGAATACAACCTGAGCAACATAGCAACATTCCGTCTCAAAAAACAAAAACAAAGAAACCTCACAATATTCTGCAGAACTAGTATAAATAGGCATTTCATGAAAAATGGGGTCAGAAATCAAAGAAGCAGGGTGAGAGAACATTCAGTTTCCTCACTGCATAATGTAAATTTCCAAGGGAAGGTGAAGAATGCAGGGGTTCTCAAAAGTTTTTCACTATGAAACCCCTTTATTGAGAAGCATGTCACAACTATGGGACCTCAAAAGATACTTTGGGAAACACTGGATTTGGGAAGTTTGAGTTTGTACCCCTATAACATTTTGAATGAAAAAAGATAAAGTTTGAGAATATTTAAGATAGGCATGATCTAGATTCACCAAGCCATCTTTCCCTGTGGGTACAGTGGTGCAAGGTGATGGATTGAACCAGTGAGGAAGTATTTCCCAACCCTACCTAATTTTCAGATTCATCTGGAGTGCTTATGAAAAATGCAGACTCCCAGGTCCCACCCCAGACCTCCTGAACAAGAATGCTAGAGAGGAGCTGGGACTTTAACAAATACCTGAGGACTCTCAAAGTCAATAAAGTTTGGGGCATTCTGTCATTAAAGATACACTTTGGTGCATACATAGCTGATTAGCAGACTTCCTCAAAAGAACCCTAAGATGGAGAGAGCCTAGTACCGGAGTCCTGAACCAGGCTCTGTCTGCTGGTTTTGTGAGGGAGCAGCAGTAGGCAGCAGGGATGCCAAGCCAAGATGGAGAGTTACTAAATAGTGAAGATGAGTACTGGCCTTCAAGGTTGCAGAAGACTCATGAACTTTAGGGCTGAAGCTCTGGATATCAAATGAGAGAGGATAAACAGAAGGTTCTCAGTGCATAGTTACTGACATTTACTGATTAAAGTCAGGTACACTTTATCAACTTATTTAGGCCAGGTGCAGTGGCTCACTCCTGTAATCCTAACACTCTGGGAGGCTGAGGAGGGTGGATTGCTTGAGCTCAGGAGTTTGAGACTAACCTAAGCAAGTGTAAGACCCCAGCTCTACTAAAAATAGAAAAATTAGACTGGAACCAGTGGTTCACGCCTGTAATCCTAGCACTCTGGGAGGCTGGGGTGGGTGATTGCCTAAGCTCACAGGTTTGAGACCAGCCTGAGCAAGATCAAGACCTGGTCTCTAAAAATACATGTGAGTGTTATTATGGGGGCCTGTAGTCCCAGATACTTGAGAGATTGAGACAAGAGAATCTCTTGAGCCCAAGAGTTTGAGGTTACTGTGAGCTTTGAAGCCACAGCACTCTAACCAGGGTGACAAAGTGAGACTGTCTCCAAAACGAATTAACAATAGGCTCGGTGCCTGTGGCTCAAGTGGTTAAGGTGCCAGCCACATACACCTGAGCTGGCAGGTTTGAATCCAGCCTGCGCCTGCCAAAC